ACAATTGAATACCCCCCACACCAATATTATCAGCATTTTCAGCGCCATCTCAAGTAAAGATAACAGATTGTTTGTCCGAAATTGAAACTAGTTTTTATTTATTTTATTTTACGAAAAAATATTTGTAATTTTTTTTGGATACAAATGAAAATTGAACACATAACTTAATACAACATATATAAATCCCTCACCGCTATACCAATCCCAATGGCTTAATGTTTATAATTTTATTTTTGTTTTTGGATAAACCACATATATCATCCACGAGAAACAATGTTATTAAAATCAAGTTTTTACGTAGAAACGGAAAGGGATGGTAGAAACGTAAATTGTGAAAACAATACGAAACATAAAGTTTTTACTACTAAAAAAAAGAAAATCATATAAGTCACTGCTCAAAATTCAATGAACAATTTTATATTTAAAAGATCAGAAGAATATTTATGCAGTTATTACAGATAAGTTATCTGCATTTACTCTCAAAATGACATCGTTTTGGGATTGAAATATTAAAAAATTATAATTATAAAGACTATAATAACCCTGAAATAAATTAAAATTACAAAAATAACATGATTTCCGTCCCAAAACGATGTCGTATTTGGCTTACTACAGATAACTCATCTACAGTAACTGCAGAAGAAAGCGAACCCATTAAAAGATATAATCAAGTTACATAATTATATAAGACATAAGTCCAAAAACACAAAAAGAGTTTAACAACTCCTATAACCAAGTTCCAAAACATCAAAAGAATAAAGTTTAACAATTCCTAAATGAAAATATAGCAGTCTCCGAGAGGATTTTTTCTTCTTCAAATAACTAGAAGAAGATACTGTGCATCTGATTTGGGGGAAATGGAAATAGGATTTTTATTTTAAAAATAAAATAAAAATAAAACCAGGTCAGGGGTTAAAAGTTGACTCGGTTAAGTTTTTTGGTTTAAGTAAAAACGTAAAAATTTGTATTAACACTGTTTTTATCAAGGAGAGTTTTTACTTGCATTTTAACACGTATCATTTCAATAAAAACATGAAAATATAAGTTTTTATATTTTTACACTAATTTTTGACAACAATTATAGAAGACAATCTTATATGAGGCAAGTATATAATTAAGGTTTTAAAATCCTCCCAGAAATAATACTGAAAATAATATTTATGATTTTAAATGGCATAATTTTATATCATTTTTAGTGAAACAATCATTTTTTTGTGCTTCTTTCTCCTCCACAAAGAAGATAAAAACCTACCAAAACACAATATTTCACTTGATATAAAGTTATATGACACACATTTGTCCCTTTTATTTTATGAGATAGGATATTTGTACTATCAATTTTTTTTATTACCACTCTAATCACTATTTAATAAGAGAAAAATCGTCCCTTTCGCTTTGAGATTGCTTGGATGGAGCATTATAACTTTACTCAGTTTCTGGCTAGGAGCTGGAATGTTGTGAAAGACACTAGAACGAATCTGCATGATCTGACTCCAAATTTAAAAAGATGGAACAAGATAGTCTTTGGCAACATTTTCAATAGGAAGACTAACCTATTGCAGAAATTCAAAATCATGTTGATTATCATACCAACTTATCTCTCCAATCTAGAGAAAAGGAGGTTAGGAAGGACCTTGATGCGGTTCTCATACAAGAAGAGATCTTATGGTTTCAAAAAGCCAGGGTGAAATGGATAAATGATGGGGATAGAAACACCAAATTCTATCACATTAAAACAGCTACTCGAAGAAGTTCGAATAGGATTCTTGAGTTAAAAAATTCTGATGGGATTTGGGTGAAGGAAGCTAGACAACTTCATCAATTGGTAACAGATTTCTATAGCAACTTGTTTAGTGAGGAAGTCCTTAATCGTGATTGGGTGAAATCAAAGACTACTTGGCCCCTTCTGCACGATGATCTGCTATCTAATTTGACTCGTAATCTTTCGGATGACGAAATTTCAAAAGCTGTTTTTAGTATCAATGGGTCAAAAGCTCCAGGGGAAGATGGTTTTCCAGCTGCCTTTTTTCATAAGAATTGGAGTCTTATTAAGACTAATGTTATTAAGGATGTTAACATGATGTTTCAGAATCCCAATCTGATTCACCTTGTGAACTCGACTCTTCTGGTCCTCATTCCAAAAGTAAAGAGACCTGAAAGTGCTAAGCAGCTCAGACCAATCTCTTTGTGCAATGTCATTTATAAAATCCTCAGTAAAATTCTGGTTAACAGAATGAAGCCCCTAATGGAAGAGATGGTGTCTCCCTTCCAAGCTAGTTTTGTTCCTAAACGACATATCCAGGACAACATCATCATCACCCAAGAGCTGATCTATTCAATGCGTAGAATGAGAGGAAGAAAGTGTTTCATGGCAATTAAAATCGACTTGGAAAAGGCTTATGATATGTTAAATTGGGAGTTTGTTCGTAAAATTTTGGATGAAATTCAAATCCCACACTGGTTCACAAATATTATCATGAATTGTATCAACTCTGATAAGGTCTCAGTGCTTTGGAATGGAGCCATTGCAGGTGACTTCCTTCCTTCAAGAGGAGTTCGTCAGGGTGATCCTTTATCTCCCTACATTTTTGTTCTAGCCATGGAAAAATTGTCTCATCTCATTCAAGATGCGGTTGACAATAAGAGATGGAAGCCAATCTCCGTGGGATCAAAAGGTCCTAAGATAGCCCATCTGATGTTTGCTGATGATTTGATGTTGTTTGCAGAAGCTTCTCTAGATCAAATCAAAGTTATAGTGGATTGCTTGGAGACTTTTAGTTCAATGTCTGGCCTAAAGGTTAGTATTCCGAAATCTAGTATTTTTTTCTCGAAAAATACAGATGCTCACATTGCAGATGATATCACAAATGTGTGTGGCTTCAAGCAAACTCACAATATAGGGAGATATCTTGGGTCCATGATGAAACATGGTCGAGTAACCAAAGACCATTATGCTGATGTTGTTGCAAGAATTAGGCACAAGTTATCTGGTTGGAGTAACCAGGTCTTATCTTTTGCCGGTCGAATTACACTTTCCAACTCCGTTATTTCAGCAACTCCTATATTTCAAATGCAACACAGTCTGCTTCCTGTAGCCATTTGTGATGAAATAGAGAAGTTGCAGCGTGCCTTTATTTGGGGTGATAAAAATGGTCAAAGGAGATCTCATCTGGTTGCATGGGATAATATTTGCAAGCCTAAGAGCATGGGTGGCTTAGGGGTGATTAACCTTCGTGTCCAAAATATGGCTTTCTTTCACAAGCTTGCATGGACGATACTTACTTCGCCCGATTCGTTGTGGGTTCGAGTTGTAACAAGTAAATATAAGAGAGGTTTGGATCTTCGGAGGGAAGTAAATCATAAAGCATATGACTCATACTTCTGGAAAAATCTGTGTAGTGTTTGGCCATCTTTTCTTCAAGCAATGCAATGGGAGATTGGAGACGGTAATGATGCATTATTTTGGACAGACAATTGGTTGGGTTTAACTGAGTGTCTTGCCTCTCTGGCTACTCGTACTCCAACTGGTTTGGAGTTGAATCTCCCTGTTAGTGCCTTCGTGAACAGCAATACTGGTCAATGGAATTTTCCCTATATTCGTCAATATCTCAATGATCAAGCTGTTGCAAGGATCCAAGCTGCTCTCATTCCTAGCGCATCGGATGGAAATGACCGCATTATTTGGAGAAATCAAAAGGTTGGCTGCTCTTTAGTTAAAACCGCGTATTATAACATGCTTGGTTTCCCTCTCATGCTGTTGAAAAATTCTTGGACTACCATATGGAAATGGCATGGGCCTCAACGTGTTAAATCTTGTATGTGGATCATAATGCATGGCCGCCTTCTTACTAAAGACCGCACATCTAGATGGAGTGGGGAATCTGGTCATTGTAAAATATGTCCTGGTGAGTTGGAAACAAACCTCCATGTTCTAAGAGATTGTAAGCATGCTAGAAGTGTTTGGAATTCTCTGGTTTCAGCTAATCGGCAAAGCTTATTCTACAGCTTGGATCTTAGAGATTGGGTTGAAAATAATATCTCAAAAGCTTGGAATCAAAGTAATTCAGATGATTGGCGTGATGTCTTTTTTATCTCTTGTTGGTTCATTTGGGGATGGAGGAACAAAAGTGTCCATGATACTAACTTCAAGCATCCAACCCATGGAACGCACATAATTGCTATGTATATAGAGGAAGTTCGTAACTGCATGGGTAGGAAGGCTATGGCTACTACTAGCATTCATCCAACTCGTATGAGTTTATGGAAACCTCCAAGGTTAAATTGGGTGAAGATTAATATTGATGGGGCAGTTGAAAGGAATACTGAGGTGGCTGCTTCTGGTGGGATTATCAGATCTGATGATGGCTCTTGGTTGGGAGGCTTTGAGTATCATATTGGTGCTTGCACTCCTTTAATGGCGGAGCTTTGGGGAACTCTAAAAGGTCTGGAATTGGTTTGGCAACTGGGATTTAAGAAGGTGGAACTAGAAGGAGATGCTTCTGAAGTATTCTCTTTGCTTGCTGATTGCAATGCAGCTTGTCAGCCTCGTATAGTGGCTAAGATACAAGCACTCATCGGTCAGGATTGGGAGGTAACGCTTTCTCATATTCCAAGGGAAGCTAATTCCTGTGCTGATTGGTTAGCCAAGTCTGCTCTTCACAAAGATACTGGATTCTGGAGTCATAGAGTTATGTCGTTTCACCTTGCTCAGTTATTTGATCACGATCTTCAGGGAATCTCCTCTTGTAGGGGTATAAACCCTGGATAGTTATTTTTTGTTTCTGGTTGTTTGTTTGTTTTTGTTTGGGGCTTCGCCCCTTAATGTTATCAAAAAAAAAAAAAAAAAAATAAGAGAAAAAGTTGAATGAAAAAAAAAATAACTTTTAAATTCAATAATAACTAAAATGGTATTGAAATAATAATAATAATAAATTTGACAATAACAATATCCTACCTCTTTAAACATGAGGATAGAAACGCTGAAAGTTTGTGTGCGGGAAATGCCGAGCCTGAACCTATGTCTTGCTCCATTTCTCAAGTCACCAACCCACCGAAATTCAGAACCATTGTCATCAAAACAACACAAGCTCGAACGTTTCAGCGTCCCACAACTCCACAAAACAATCTCAACTCTCGACCTCACGGACGAGACTACCCCTCACAAAAAACTCATAAACTCCTCTCTTCTCCTTAAAGCATGCATCAGGTCTCGTAACTTTGACCTTGGTAAACTCCTTCACCACAAGTTAACCGAGTCACAACTCGACCTCGACTCGTTCCTTCTCAACTCGCTCATTACCCTCTACTCAAAATGCGGCGACTGGTACCACGCGCTTTCAATTTTCCAAAACATGGGAAACAAGAGAGACTTGGTTTCGTGGAGTGCCATGATGTCCTGTTTCGCCAACAACAACATGGAATCCGAAGCGCTTGTTACTTTCCTCGACATGCTCGAAGATGGGTTTCACCCTAATGAATATTGCTTTACGGCGTCGTTTCGGTCGTGTTCTAATGCTGAGTATTTTTCAATTGGGTGTGTGATCTTTGGCTTTGTACTAAAGACTGGGTACTTTGATTCAGATGTTTGTGTTGGTTGTTCGTTGATTGATATGTTTGTGAAGGGTGGCAATGATATTGAATCTGCACGCATGGTGTTCGAGAAAATGCGTGAGAGAAATGTAGTCACTTGGACCTTGATGATTACTAGGTTTGCACAAATGGGCTTAATGGATGATGCTATTGATTTATTCTTGAGTATGTTACTAAGTGGGTATGCACCTGATAGGTTTACTTTAACTAGTCTCTTATCAGCTTGTGCTGAGTTGGAATTCTTGTCACTTGGGAAGCAATTGCATTCTTGGGTTATCAGGTCTGGATTGGCTTCTGATGTGTGTGTGGGTTGTAGTTTGGTGGATATGTATGCAAAATGTGCTGCAGATGGGTCAGTAGAGAATTCTAGGAAAGTGTTTGATAGAATGCCGGATCATAATGTTATGTCTTGGACTGCACTTATTAGTGGATATGTGCAAGGGAGTGGACAAGAAGAGGAAGCTGTCAAATTGTTTTGTGAAATGGTGCTTCAGGGTCATGTTGCACCGAATTGTTTTACTTTCTCTAGTGTCCTCAAGGCTTGTGCAAATCTTCCTGATTTCGGCTTTGGCGAACAACTTCATGGCCAAACAATTAAATTGGGCATTTCTGCAATTAATTGTGTAGGGAATGCTCTTGTTAGCGTGTATGCAAGGTCTGGAAGAATGGAATGTGCTCGCAGATCTTTTGATATTTTGTTTGAAAAGAATTTGATTTCGCGCAATAATACCGGTGTTGCTGCAGATGGGAAGTATTTGAATTCTGAAGAGGCCTTTGAATATGAAATTGAGCGCAATGGTATTGGAGCTAATTCTTTTACATATGCATGCCTCTTAAGTGGCGCTGCTTGTGTTGGTACAATTGGTAAGGGGGAACAAATTCATGCCCTAGTAGTAAAGGCAGGATTTGGGACCAACCTATGCATTAATAATGCCTTGATCTCTATGTATTCCAAGTGTGGAAACAAAGAAGCTGCTTTGCAGGTCTTTAATGACATGGAGAATCGCAATGTTATATCTTGGACCTCTATCATAAGTGGTTTTGCAAAACATGGATTTGCTACAAAAGCATTAGAGTTGTTCTATGAAATGCTTGAAGTAGGTGTAAAGCCTAATGAGGTCACTTATATTGCGGTTTTGTCAGCTTGTAGTCATGTTGGTTTGGTTGATGAAGCATGGAAACACTTCAATTCCATGCGTTATGACCATGGTGTTGTTCCAAGGATGGAACATTATGCATGTATGGTTGATTTGCTTGGCCGATCTGGATTGCTTTCAGAAGCCATTGAATTTATTAACTCAATGCCTTTCGATGCTGATGCGTTGGTGTGGCGTACATTCCTTGGTTCTTGTCGGGTTCATCGTAACACTGAGCTTGGGGAGCATGCAGCAAAAATGATTCTTGAAAAGGAACCTCATGATCCAGCTACCTATATATTATTGTCAAACTTGTATGCATCAGAAGGGCGGTGGGATGATGTGGCAGCCATTAGAAAAAGCATGAAACAGAAGAAATTGATTAAAGAAGCAGGTTATAGCTGGATTGAAGTTGAAAACCAGGTGCACAAATTCCATGTAGGGGATACTTCACACCCCCAAGCACAAAAGATATATGAAGAACTTGATGTATTGGCTTTAAAAATAAAGAACTTGGGTTATGTCCCAAATACAGATTTTGTTCTTCATGATGTGGAGGAGGAACAGAAGGAACAGTATCTGTTTCAACACAGTGAGAAAATTGCAGTGGCATTTGCTCTTATTAGTACCCCCAAACCAAAAACTGTAAGAGTATTTAAGAATCTCCGGGTTTGTGGGGACTGCCATATGGCAATAAAGTATATATCAATGGTTACTGGAAGAGAGATTGTGGTGAGAGATGCAAACCGATTTCATCATATCAAGGATGGGACATGCTCTTGCAACGATTATTGGTAATCCATATACATCCAATTGAGGACTTCTTGGCCTTAGTCACTGTAAATTTTGAGGGGTTAGATCCTTATGCAAGAGTTATTCACTTTCTTGCTGCTCATACTGTACAAAGGTTGTGAATATGGAAACTACTAGCTGATTGCTAATGGCTGACAGACATTTATTATTCCATCTCAGTTTTCTAAATATTGAGGCTTGATGCTGGTCTATAGTCTATACCATTTATCTCTTCTATTGTTTTTCATGGATGTTCTTCCAAATATTGTGCTAAAGGAACAATCTTAATTGTATTATTCTCAGGCCTAGAGAGCCAAAATTTATCCCAAAAAGAAGATAGATATAGAAAATTGATGATTTCATATGTTATTTAACATGATCATATACCATGTGAGAGTATTTTAATCTTTTATGAATAAATTAACGGTGATGAGAGATAAGAGAGAAAATATTGGGGTATGAAGTGACAAAAAGATAACGGTTTACTTGTTCATAAATCATTAAGATCATCTTTCATGATATATTAAATAGCACATGAAATGATTCAATTTCCATAGATATATGCAAGGAAGCACGGACACTTGTAAAAACAGGAAGAGTCGGGTCCGACACGGCGACACGCTCCGACATGGTGGCGGACACGCAGTTGACTTTTTCCGACACATTGACCATTCCGACACGCGAATTTGACCGTGTCCAACACGGTCAAACGGCACTTTCGTAATTTTTTTTTAATTTTTTTTTTTTAAAATTTATTTTTTTAAAAGTTAAAATATATTAATAAAGCTTCCATCTGATCATATCAATTTTATCTTTTTGTCTTTTTTTCCCTTAAGTAGATAGAGATCATCTCAGCATCATTGTTGTCAATTTCTATCACGCTCTTGTTGTATCTTTTTCTCTCTGATCTCTCTCTAATATGATTTGATCTCTCTATCTGATATTATATCTCTCTCATCCCAGTTCTTATTTTTTTTATTAAAGCTTCCATCTTTATAACGTGTTGATGGGTATTAATAATTTAATTTCATTTTTTTGTTAAATTATTAAATATTAAATGAAATATACACTATATAAATTAAAAATATTATTTAATATTAAAACGTGTCTCAACGTGTCGAAATCTATAATTTTTTAAGATTGACGTGTCGTGTCGTGTCGTGTCACGTGTCGCGTGTCGTATCGGTGCTACATAGGATATATGTTTCAGAAAAGTGAGTCAGACTTTGGTTTATGTATGCTTTGTGCCTTTCATCTTTATATATTACAATAACCACTACATATATATGCTTTTATCATTTTTGAATTTCTATTCTAGATTTTGACAATTTTTATTTGACAAATTTTCATAGAGCTGGGCGGCGAGTATAACATCTTTTGGAATAAATTTTTTTTTTTTTTCAAATCTTTTGGAATAATTAGCTCTGAAAGAATTGGTTTTGGAAGAATGGATTTTGTGTTTCGCAATGTTCACCTAAAAGTAATTTTATAAACAAGTGATTTGAATTGTGTTACCTTTACCTTTTAGCTTGGAAATTAAACTGCAGAGAATATATATACATGGCAAAAAAAATTAAAATAATGCATTTAAATTAAATAATTACGCATTTAATGCTGTTTTGTTAAAAATTATACATCCACTGCGCAATGTAACACCATTTTTGGGCGTCACATGTGTGCTCTGTATATTTCCCCACCCCCTCCATTCAATTCACACCTCTTCTCTCACTCTTCGTATCTCTCTCCTCCACCAACATTCCTTTATCTTTAATTTAGTATTTGAATTTTATTTCTTATTCTATTTAAAAATGAGCTCAAATCCTGATTCTGTTCATGTTGTGTTATATTACAATGGTAGGAAGGTAGAAGGTCGACGATGTGTCATCTTCGAAGGTGAAAAAAGGCCGACACGTATCCAACGCAACACAACCATTGGCGAACTGCATCAGAGAATTCGGCAGAAGTTAAGTCTTCCAGACAACCAATGTATCTGAGATCACGACAAGGGTGTGGCAAGGTGATAAATACATTAGTTTGAAAGTGCTTGACGATGAAGACTTGGAGATGACAATGGAAGAATTTTGCAACCAGTCAAGGACAGATTTTCTAGAGTTGTATGTCGACATCGCCGCAACCGAGAATGCTCCCTTACCGGTGAGGTCAGTTTATTTAAATTCTCCCCGTCTTCCAGCTTCTCCTGCCGCTCATGCGTCTCCAGTTGGTAACATTTTCGAGGGAGATGAAAATGATCCGACTTGGGAAATGCACGACGAAGATGACGATGACGACGATGAAAATATGGCAATGGAAGAACGTCTTCTGGCGGAGGATGCTAGTGCTTCAGAAGGAGATGAATCACGTGAGATGGGTGCGTCTCAAATCCCAATATTCCATCAACCAGTCGTCACGCAAATACCGCAGTTGAATGACGTTGCGTCTACCCCGTTCGGTATTCACCATGAAGGTAATTGATCCCATTTGTATATAGCTGAATAGATAACTGATTTAATACCTGAATTAGTAAGTTTGTATTAAAAAATTATAATCCGCAATTGCAGGTGACACAAATGTTATTCCTTTTTGGGAAGGAATTCCGCATTATTCCTACATTGATTGGAGTTATCAGAGCGAACAAGAATCATGTACTGATGGTTCGGTCTCCAGTTCTCTTCAACCTTCCCCCGAAGAGTATGATCATGTATCCCTCTCAACTTTCTAGATTTATCCAGGATAGGTTGATCAAGACCGAACTATCGCATGCACCTATCCGGTTGACATGCCTCTATTGTGTGGAAGTAGATAATAGGTGTGGCAGCAAGCCACAGGTACTGCTGCTCTAGAGTCACGTCAAGCCACTCATAATCGATATATGGCTGCCACACCACCTACAAAAAAAAGAGCGAAACAATATATAGAGTTACAAAAAAAATAAACCCATAGAGAAATAACAACATCGTAAGTATCCAACACCTAACCTCATCTCTACAAAGTGTGTCCAATGTTGCCCGATAATGGGTGACCTCATGAGGTTTAAACTTTTCTACAGTATTAAACCTGTCAATCAGAAACATTCATTATCAATCATAATCAAGAAGTATACAGTTAGTATATACATTATCAACCATACATTATCGAAATCAAATAAAGTAAATAAATCATACCGGCATCCATAATGTGTGCCCGGCTCTGGATGAGGAGGAAAGGGTGGAGCAATGGGTAGGAATCGTATCCATGCCCAAATTTGAAGGAGAATATGGCAACCACCCATGTCAGTTCGACGTGCATCTGTCAATTCACACAAATTCCTGAACAAGTGTGTCAAAACTGCAGATCCCCAGCTGAATCGACCAATGTCCTCAAATCCTCCACCTAGCAACGGGACAAGCCGGCAACCAAAATTGCTACCTCCAGACTTGTCCGCCAGCAACCAAGTCCCCAACATCCGGGCAATGTGGGCTTTTGTGAAGTAGATCTCGGCAGCGTGATTCCCCTCATGATTAGTCCACCGGGTATAATGCCAATCCAAGAATGAGATGCGGAGGTCGCCGGAATGATGGAACTCACCGGCCTCTGGAACATGTCCAAAAACAGCAGCACAAGCAGCGTGCCAATCCTCGGAGGTCGACCTGGTGACGACAGTGCCGTCAGTCGGCAAGCCCAATATGCCTGCCACATCTTGTAAGGTGATCTTCATCTCACCTTGGGTCATGTGAAAGGTATGTGTCTCTGGTCTCCACCTCTCGACCAGAGCACTAATTAAAAATGTATCGATCTGTGATAAATTACGCAGTTATCACGTGTTAACGAATTTTATTGAATAATTACATAAATACAAAACGACGTAAATAACATACCTGGATATGTTGCATCCTGGCAACATGTATGAATCCCGCCTGTCTGAGGTACTCTTCGACAACCTGTGGAATAGCACCGGTAGGTGGCCCCCCTTGTGGCTTCCCACGCCTGGTCTTAATTTTCCTTACATGCTCTGTATTCCACACTCACTGTGAAATATGAGCTTTCTGCGTCCTCTTTCGAAGGACCTCCCACCTGTACGGCCCAGGTATGATCCACATGCTGGGATCGGTGGGCTCTACATCCGACTCAGATCCCGATGAAGATGATGACTCAGTCATTATTCTCAACTATATAATATAAAACAACATTTAAATTAATCACATGTAATGCCCCATTTTATTTACAATTTAATTAAGCAGTGACATAATTAATTATCACAAAAATTAAGCATATGCGTCATTTATTTAACTAGAATCGAAATTTATGAAGTCCCGCCAAAACGTAGAACAGTTATTTATTTGCAATTAAATAATAATAATACATCGGACAAAAATAATATAATACTAACTGAATACTTAAACCTAGATTACTACCAACTTGTCCAATACGTACTAATCATCACACCTAACTAACTACAAAGTTATGCACTCCCGCATTAATAACATCATACATACAAAATTTACGAAGTCCCTAACACTATTTATAGAGAGAGGTTAGAGAGGTAAATGAGTAAGGAGTGAAAAAAAGAAAATGGGGTATATATAGGTTGCACATGAGACACCCTCTTTGGGCGTCACATGTGACGCCCCAATGGGGCTTCTTCTCCAAGGGAGAGACGCCTCACTGGGGCATCACATGTGACGCCCAAAAGGGGCGTCTCATTGTGCAACAGATGTGTAATTTTTTACAAAACGGCATTAAATGCGTAATTATTTAATTTAAATGCATTATTTTAATTTTTTTGCCACACTCACACATATATATATATATATATATGGGGAAGGATATTGTGACAACCAAGTTGTGTTACTACCTAGCGACTACCAATTAATCTCACCGTAAGATCGATTATGTTGATCCAACGGTAATATTTATTTTCATCTTTGTATGGTCATGGTTTTCCAAATTTAATACTTTATATTTATTTCCACCTTTGTATGATTATGATTTCTCATATTTAATGATTTCACTTTAAATATGGGAAACCATGACCATACAAAGATGGAAATAAATATAACTGTTGGATCAACATAATCAATCTAACGGTGAGATTAATTGGTAGTCACTTGGTAGTAACACAACTTGATTGTCACAATATCCTTCCTATATATATATATATATATATATATATATATATATATATATATATATATATATATATATATATATATATATATATGGGAAATGATCCATTTACAAACTTGTTTTACAAATTACACTAAGTATGACCGGTCATACACTCTTGATTGAAGTATGACCGGTCATACTTAGTATAATTTGTAAGAGTGTGTAAACAAAAAGTTTATAAATATAACATTTTCCTATATATAGAGAGAGAGAGGATCATTTTATACCGATGTCAAACTTTGAAATTTGACACAAAATTCTAACATTTGATTTCCGCCAATTAACTGTTATTATTTATTGGAAATCAAACTTATTAATACTCAATAAATGATCATCGTTGATTGGCGAAAATCAACATTTAGAATTTTGTGTAAAATTTTAAAGTTTGACACCGATATCAAAGGATCTTGCCCAATATATATATATGTGTGTGTGTGTATATATATATGTGTGTATATATATATATATACATATATATATAATATCTTTGAAAAAATTTAGTATATCTTACAATGTTTTAAAATATCCTTCGAGTATTTTGAAATATATGTAGAATATTATTTGGAATCAGTTATTCATTGAGAAAGCAATCTTAGTAGTTGATTTCTTTCAAAGAAATCAACTACTAAGATTGCTTTCTCAATGAATAACCAAATAGGCCCATGAGATTCAAGGCCCAGAAAGGGTCCAAGAGGCGCAATGATCTCATAGTGCGAGATGCATGAGCCAAGCATTGCACAGGTTATAATATTAAGCCACCTTATATGACTTAAAGGCTAAGGAAAGACCTTACAACAAGCTAGGTTCCACCGTGCATAAAGACCAACACAAGGAAAACAACTTCAACTTGCCACCACTTTAGGAAGACAGACAAGCATATAAACTTATTCACCAAGAAAATAGCCAGAAAGGCACAGAAAAGATTGCAGCCGACAACAACCAATGAGAAGACATGCTGCCTACTAAAGGCGGCATAAAGCTTGCTATAAATACGAATGGTACAAACTCAGGTATGATCATCTTATTCCCATTGAATATAACATAAAATCTAACATTGATACTGACTTGAGCGTCAGAGTGTCTTTGTAAGTACCCCCAACTCACTTCTATTGCGCCAAAAGCATTCGACAGCCTTCATATACACAATGACCATTTCAAGCCCACGAAGTACAACATACAACCCAAAGTCCTTATCTTTCAACTATATATGATTTAGTCCAATCTATATTGGACTGGTTTGATCAATTACATTTCCTTTTTTAATTTGCCACGGGTCCAAGACCGAAAAGATAGAGTTATCGTAAGTAAATTGCTCCCGGTTGTTCAATCATTTGATAACCATGGAACGTCCGTGTATTTTATCATCAACTTGGTGAATTAATTTCAAGATATATGGTTTGGGCGTGAACTTTTTGTACGTCGTATGCCTACCTTTTTTGAAACATTTCTAGCATCATATCCATAGGTAGCATATTCATTATAGTTAGAAGCTCAAGCTCCCCTTCTTTTCCCTTCTCTCTTCTCTCTTCTCTCTTCTCTTTCCTCTCTCCTCTCTCTTCTCTTCCTCTCTCACTCTCTTTCTCTTTGCCCCTGCACACATGTACCGGGATCACTAAATATTGTCTCTCCAAGACCACGTAACAAGAGCAGACTACCGGCTAGACCAAACCCCACAAGCTTCTAAAATCTGTAATTTATATAAATTCCAAAAGTACTAGAGACTAGAGTGATCACTTCAAGGCCCAAAACACATTTCATGTTAAATATCGTATACTTTGAAATTTCATAAGTAATTAAACCCAATACGTGAATCACGATATTAATTAAATATAAATATAACTTATGTCTTATTTGAAATTTCACTTATAAAAATAATGAAACAACTCTAACTCTAAAATATTTGGTTATAAGGATTCTAAACAAAGTCTATAATACAAAAATGAAAATTCAAATTTGTCCACACAAGTAATATGTTCTCACCAATAGAAAATGTATTAGATTTTCTCGACCAAATTGGAAGAGCATAATAAAAAATTATCTCTTTATCTTTATGTTAAAATATTGAATCATGATTTATGTTGGGGTATTTTTTCTCCTTAATTAAAGGTAGGTTACACATAATTTAAGGGGCACGTGGCTCAAAACACTTTGGTCAAAAAATTTATACTTAGTTTATTTCTTAATCATCTAGGCTTTGAAAAATTGTACCATAGTTTGTCTATAAATAAAGAAGAGAAGGCTAGAAGGATCAAGCGAGCATTTAAGAGAGTTTTTCTTAGAAGAGAGAAATAGAGTTTCACCACAAAGATAAGAGAGAAATTTTACAACTGATAGAGAAAATTATTGTAAACTATTTTTAGTGGGTGAAGTATTTATATGCAAATCTCTAATCTTATTTTAGAGAGATTATCTTTATAATTCTATTTTTATGGTAGAAGTTTTCATAGATTATTGGTCCCATAATTTTTCTTCTCAGTTTTTAACGCTAAAATATATAGTAGCGTTTCATCGGTAAATAAAAACATCATACGTAAATAATTTGAAGTAAGTTAAAATCTAAAATAATAAAATGACCAGTTGCAACCATTTCCAATAATTTGAAAATATAACGTAATTTATAGAAATACCATCTAAACGAGAATTCGCGAGACATAACTAAACAAAACAAGCACACAGCTTGTGATGTGAGTAAACTAACAATAAGACAACCACAAGAATGAAATGATGAGAATTAAGCTTGGAATATAAACTGAATTTGATAAGCAAAAGATTTGAAATGACGAGCAACAAGCTTGACATCATAACCAACTCACGTGTGTTAGCAAACACACTTGTCAATGTATACCTTGCTAGTTAGGGTTTGATCAAATCCTAGGTGTACTAAAAAATATTTTCCCAATTTAATTTTATTTCTAAATTAAATATGCATTACCCAAAGAAATAATTTCCAAATAGATATAATAAAAGTTTGATTTATGAAAATAAACTTATTTAATGAAGGAAAATTCTTGACATTTGAAAACTCAGACTCAAATATATTTCAATATTTTTCATGTGTATAACAATAATTAATATCAATAGTTATTTTGGAGGTTGGTTTGCGCCCATTATGCAGCTCACTCTCACTCTTTTTTTTTTTTTTTTTGGGTGTAGTTCTCACTCTCACTCTTACTATAGAACAAAACTTCTTTGTCATCAATATTTTACCTCTTCTCCATGTAAAAACCTACTACTAGACAGTACACACCCATGCAGTATTCATGTCCTAAGGCAATAATTTATGACCTTTTTAACTCTTCACCTTGTTTATACAATTGCTTGAACACTTAATGCATAGAATGAAAGGCAAGAAAAACTTTATGTCTATAAAGATTGACTTGAAAAAGGGATATGATTGGGGGTAAGTCTGGTGCAAAATTAATATACACCACGTTATTGTTTGGCTTATTATGCAAAAGTTCAGAGAAGTTGTATTTAAATACAATATAGACCAGGTTTCTGGTTTTGGACAAGTAGTATTCCTACTTCTTGATTTTGGTATTCTGAAATGTCCACATCAAACCCTTGTATCCACACATTTCGGGAATTAAATAAACTCTGCCAATAATTCCTTAACTATTCATTAAAAATTACAAAACCAATAATGCAGTTACACTGCTAAGATCTACATTCATTATGTCAACACATAAACAAATTGATATTTCAAAACCCAAGTAAACCATATCAAGCTCTACATTGTTCCAAAAGACCACCTAAATATGGCAGTCACATTTGACAAGACAAAACATATAAAGCACAAATGTCACTGCCCAAGTGCCCATGACATAACAACTAAAACACATTTAACATTTTTTTACCTTGCTTCTCTCAGTAGCTAACTCTGCAACTTACCAATTTTGCGTTTGAACTCTTAGACCACCACATTAGACACGTGGAAACCCTGCATGTTTCCAGTTTGTCATTCTTCAAAACATTCTCCTAGTGTTAGAGTTCATCAGCAACATGGTTTCTCCGCACGCACAAAGTCTCTTTGCAAATGCGTTTGTGGTCTATGTTCATTGTCTCTGTTCTTGGATTCCATTTGTGGTCTCTTGTCTCTGCAAACTTTGGAAGAAGATTTATAGCAGAGAGTCTACCACGTGACTTTGTTGGATATAAAGTCACGTGACCCCCATAATGGAAATTTCAACCTTAACATAACATAAGCATTATGACAACAAGCTTATGCATTAGGTGACATTCATGATGTAATATTCAATTTGCCTCATCATCACTCAACAAAAGCAAGTTAATGAGAAGGACTAAATGTGAACACTTTAATATAATGAGGGACCAAAACCTAAACGCAAATTAATAAAGGACAAAATCGAAATATTGATATATTTATAAGAACCAAAAACATATCTACATATTTTAAAACATCAAATTTAGTAGAGTAACATATATTACCATTTATATATTACTTAATATTGAAGACAATAATATAAAACAAGTTCATACTTGAGCGGGTATTAATCCCACACTCAAACCTCATGGTCTTACCTAAGAGAAATTAATAAATAAATTGATTAAAATAATCTAGGACAATGTAAATGTACTTTCACCACCACTGCAACACATCAAAAATGCAAAATATAAAACATATGAACTTTTTGTTCACAAAAATAGATTTAATAATGCTTGACTCAACCACTGTTCCATATGCTAGGATCTCATTACACCAATAAGGACGACAATTCATGTCAGTTGCCTCATTGCTTCATAAGTTTGAATTTCTCCAAATTTGCTTTACTTTGTACAACAGAAAAGATTTCATAATATGAAGTCACTCTGATGGTTTAAACAATTTCAAATAGAACTCCACGCTCCAATAGTTCTGATAAAACACCCCTCATTTTGTCAACAGAAATAGGTTTCAATATAAGGCCATCCATACCAACCCTCGTACAGTTTTCTTTTGTCACTTTGTTGGTGTTTCCAATAAGAGCAACAATTAGTGGCCTATCTTGACGTCTGTTAAACTTCTCATGTATTCGTACTGCTAGTTCATAACCATCTAACCCTGTGTAAACATCCATGAAGACCACTTTGTGTTCCGGAGAAACAACACGCAAGCATTCTTCACTTGAGCTTACGGTTGACACATCACATCCTAAATGCATAAGAAGTCCCTTTGTTACTGTCCTGCTAACCCTGCATTACCAGTTTCACCATCAGTTATGAGACATTCAAACAAAACAGTATAAACTCCAATTAGTTGTTTTGTTTCCTATCCCAACCCCCCCCCCAAACACGCGCACACACACACACAAAAATACACACAAAGCAATTGCATCAGCGACTAAGAATTTCTGAGTGCCTTGGATTACAAGCAAAAGGTGGATATCTACATGAATACTGCATATATGAGGATATTTATGACAATGAGTGATACATACAAATTATCATATATAAAATCATTCATGTACCCCTAGGAGATTAGGCTTTCAGGAGAGTAGTCTCTTGATATGATGTCAAAACTTCTTCGACCAAGTGATCATAAACTCAATCAATTCCACCCCTGTTCTTCATTGTTGATATTAGAACAGAAAATCGACTGGGCCTAACTCAACCTCACAAGCTAGCTTAAGAAGGGAGGATTGCCCAAATCATTATAAGGGCTACTTTGTCCATATGCCTAGCCGCCGATTTAGGATCTTAAAAGTTGATATTAATAAGGTTTAGGTTAAAAAGGAAGAAAAGAGAAAAAGGAGGCTCTCAAGATGATGTGATCCAAATTACAAAACTATTTGTCCTGCTTATACTAATAATTAGGTTAAATATTAGTTTAAGTACTACTTTCTACTCATTCAAGCCTAAGCCCATTAAATAACAAGGCAAAATATGTAAATTGGCATGTCATATGGCAATCGCCATGAATGTGTTAATTGCTAAATTTAGCTTTACAATATTTACAAATAGTAACAATTGCAAAGAAGAACTATATACTTTAAAGGCCAGTAATAAGGAGCAATTTCAGAAATCTGAGCGTCAGCATACATCTTCCCCGAGAAAAATCCCACCTAATATTCAGTAAAAGTCCTAACAAACTAAACCAAAATAGAAAAAGCATTTTTAAAAAAATGAATAGAATGGGATGTTACCAGAAATGTTTTATCGAGAATATATGTAATCTCCAATTTCAATTTTTCTAGCATTGATATGATGCTCTAAAGTCCTGAACCTAAACTTTTAGCCTGTAAATTATAAAGTTTAACAACATAAACCTTGATGTTTAGTCTTATTTACTCTGGATAAAAGCAATATAAGATCCGGCAGCAGCATGCATTCAATTCAAGAATATAATTGGGCATAACAAATCAACCTAAGTTTACGTTCCTATGAAATCACAAGAATTATAATGGATTTACTTAAATAATTAATAAGTCATAAGTGGAATAGAAACAAATTTAAGAACTGAAGGTAAGAAAATAAAGCTATGTTACTCACCCATTATCATCCATGACAAGAACCTTGAGCCCTGCAAAGTTCATAGATCCATGATTTCCCAGAACTTTAGGTACAGAAGGTAGTTTAAATTCATTTGATCGGTCTGGGATTCCAAGTTTTACAATAAAAGTGACTGTACATCCTTTACCAATACCTTCGCTTTCAATCCAAATATGCCCTTCCATGAGATTTACAAACCTGCTCACATTCACCATTTAAGAGAATAGTATACAGTCAATAGTAAATCTCAAATAGGAATCCTAAAGATTGACTATGCTTCACATCCTACTTTAAAGGTAGTAAACATACAAGAATACAGTACCTCTTACAAATTGCAAGGCCAAGTCCACTTCCAGTAGGATTTCTTGTTGCCAATGATTGACTTTGTGCAAACTTAGTGAATAACTTCGGGATATCTTGGGGATTAATTCCTGATCCAGAATCTTTTACCTATAGTGTGGGAAAAATTATACACCATCATTGATGTCAGATAACAGAGGATATAGGATAGAATGCCTCAAGACAGACTTAAGCTTGAAGAAACAAACCTGTACTCTCAAATAAAAGTGCCTATCACTTGGCACTGGAAGAAAGTCGGGAATTCTAGTATCCCTGAAGGATTCAGGCTTTGCAAGAAAAGCAGTGATGGAAATGCTTCCCTCTTTTGAGAACTTCACCGCATTACCAACAACATTCAGAATAGTTTGCATGAGACGTTTTTCATCACCAATGGCATATACTGGCAAATCTGAAGCTAATTGTAAAGTGAGTGACAACTTTTTAACAGATGCAACAGGCTTAATCAAGTTAAGGACCTGCAATCAGAATAATAGATCTGATAACATCAAGCTTTTAAAGAAACTCCAGATTATCAGTTACAAGTCAGATTAGTATAAATGAATCTTAGGATTTATAATGAAAATTATACATCTCTGAACAAAGAATGAAGGTTAAATGTTGCTTCTTCAAGTTGAAGACTGCCATCTTCAAGCCGTGAAAGATCAAGAACATCATTGATGAGAGTAGCCAAAAAATTGCTGCTTTTCAATATTGTCTCCACCATCAGACGTTGCTCAGCTGTCAGCTCTGTTTCCTGTAACAACGAAGAGAGTGCAATAATTGCATGCATGGGAGTCCTCATCTCGTGATTCATAACAGCTAAAAAGTCATTCCGAGCACGAATTGCAGTTTCTGCTTCTCTTCTTGCCAGATCAAGTGCAACATTCTGTTCCATGAGCAGATCCCTTGCCCTCATTGACTCTTCCAAGATTGCAGCGTGTGAAAGAGCAACAGCTACCTGGTGTGGGTGACAATTGTCATAAGTAATTTGAGGGTATGTTCAGATGATAGACTAATGCAGTACATAAATATATGGTTCCCACTTCCCAGTTCCCATAACATATTTCTGATTTTAGATGTAACAGTATGTCATAGTAAACAATTCAATTCAACAACAACAAAGTTTTTTCTCATTAGGTAGCCACATAAATCAATCGATGCCATTAGGCTCTATCAAAAACCAATAGTAAACTATACAGGACAAGGTTGAAAACTAGTCGAATTATTATACCTATACCTATACCTATAAAAAACCAGTGCAAATATGCAACGGTATGGTTGTGTACAAGGATTTCCCTCATCCCTACCCCCGCTAGTTGGGGTTTAATGGGGAGTGATTTTTATTATGGAAAGATGCCACATAAATTTAGAAGAGAAACACAACTTGCAATTTATCTTGAGGAAGTGTATTCAAAAAATTAGATGTTGGTTAAACTAAACATAAATAGGAAAAAGTAATCTTCAGTAAATGTGTCCAAAATCACTTTATATTTTCCATTAACAAACAGCTTAACCATTTATAAAAACACAGAAACTGAATACATTCAAGTCAAAGAACCATGCATGCATTCAATTTATCAAAGAACTTAAGTTCATCAACTAGAAATGGTAACAGAAAAATATAAAAATCACTTTGTTACAGTTCCAAAATCTAGAAACTTACTTGAACTAAAAAGTAATGAATGATAAACATCTCCATGTAAAACAATTGGGTGTAATTAAATGTAAAGACAAGTGACATGTAAAACAAAATACTAGAAAGCAATCGAATAAAATGGAAAATTGCTAACCTGATCAGCAACTACCTCAACCAGCTCTACCTCATGTCCATGCCATTGTCTAGCACTATCTGATGGAAGCATCAAGACCATCATAGCATAGCTTCTTGTTGAAACCTCAGGCCAATCATATATTTGGAAATTAGAAAGATGTAGGAGAGGAACCCGAACAGCTACTACTGCCCCAGGCATGTAATTTCCAGTATGAGGCCGTAATCTAGCAACTGGGCAATTAGGTGAAATTTTTACTGCACGGTTGCTACTAAATACTTGATTTATAACAGGAAGATGAATGGGTACTGTGTATCCAACCGGGTTCTGTTGTCGCAATGTGTAAGAGAGTTGAAGCTCCAGCCCAGTACGGGTTGGCATCCACAAGGCACATTCCTCCAGTGCCAAAGTTCTACCCAGTTCAACAAGAGTCGTTTTCAGTATTGTATGTCTATCAAGAGTGCTTCTAATCTCATGAGTCAACATCCTAACATGTCGACCAGTTTCTTCCTGTGTACGAATCAAGCCCATTTCTCTATCAAGCTCTGCAGCCTTGTTCTTCAAAAATAATTCCCTAGTTTTAACACTTAATAAATCAGGAATAATATGTACAAGCATAAGGGCTGTAGCACATGATACCACAGCAGTTAAAACCTTAGCAGTGGTCATTACAATTGCGACAGTTCTTGAATGGATTGTAAAGGTCCATAAATTAATTAGATGCGTTGCTCCACATAGAACTATGAAAGCACCAAACTGAACAAGGACCCATCTATATGGAAATACTGCTGATTTCTTAACAAAGTAGATAAGCTCCAGAGGGATTGAGAAATAAGCAAGGGCAATGAAGAAGTCTGAGATATATTGGTATTTCATCAATAAATCATCAGCTGGCCATTGCGGGTCAATACAATTACAGGATTCCATAGTGATTGAACCACCTCAGCCAAGTTTTACTCTTTCACATAGCTACATTAAAAGATGGAAAACTTAAGCATTAGATAGATGGGAATAGAACAGAATGAAAACAACTATGAATTAAATATTGATATCAAACATTCTGTCATTAAATTCCCCCTGATAGTTTATAGCTATATGGTTCTAAACAGAGATAAAAGAGGAAAGTCAAAAGAAATATGAGATAATGCTGTACTATAAAGTCATAAACCATAATGATAAAGCAAAATTTCTGTCATTTTCTTAAAAATGAAGGCAACAAATGCATTCAGGAAAATATGTGGTGCAGAACTCATATCAATATAACAATCCAAACCCTTTATTTCATATAGCCCAGACATAGCCACCTCACATAAACATAAAGCACAAACACACCACAGCACTACCTATTTCTATATACAAAAACATGGCAAGCATCCTAAACACTCAGGTCTAATCAGTGAATAAACATTTAAATTTAACTCAGTTTATGACTTTTGTGTTGATATGTTGCGTCCACATTTAAACTTCGAACATTATAACCAAAGAGCAAGTCCCATAACCCATTCAATCAATCATTCCTATATTGAAAGTTCTAAATAGCTCTCTCAACACTATGCCCTAAGAAAATATCAAATTCATTATCCAAATAAGAAAAAAAAATTCAATTTATAGTTCAACCTATACTCAATCAATCAAGTTCTCTTTATAGAAAAAAAAAATAATTAGAAAGAGAAAACAGACATACACTAATCAGCTTCTCCCACTGCTCTCTATCCATGACAATAAAAACTAACAACACTAATTTATTCACATGTCAAAACATTAATCCAAAAGAGAATTTTGGAGGAGAATGAGAGTTACATATAATTGAGATATAAAAATAGCAAAAAAAAAAACAGTAATTGTGATCTATGGAAACTTACAAGGAATGAAATAGATGATGGTGAAGCAAAAGCAGAAGAGCAGAGAAAAGAACATAAGAGAGAGGAAAAAGAAATGAATAGGAACAAGTTGCTTAAAATTAAATTTAAATAATAATAATAATAATAATATATTATATGGTATGGCGGTCAAGTTCAATGAATTGGTTTGTGTCGAAGAGGGGACATACCGCATATGATGCAAAGCTGATGGATCTCTTGTAGTCTCATAGAGTCAAAAGCCTCTCATCGATTTTACTTTTTTTGTCTTTTTTAGATTGTTGTTATCTCCCTTCTGTTTTTTTTTTTTTGTTGTTGGTAAAGTATCTCCCTTCTGTTAACTGTTATTAATTGTCTACCTCTTTTTTTTCCTATATTTAGATCCTCTTATGTCTTAACATTTTATGTTACTTGAAAAAATTTAAACATTTATTAATAAATTAATGATAATTTTATTTTACAAGTTTTATCATTGAAAGTGGTTATATATATGGAAATTATACATATTATGTTACAGAAATATTAAATCCATTTCGGCACTAATAAAAACTTGTGGGTCCCACTAATTAATTTTTTTAAAAAAATCACGACAATCAATGTATCAACAAGAAAATAACACCATATATATATATATATATAGAGTTATGTCATTTTAAGTAAAAGAAAAAAAGAGATAAGCAATTAAAATTATGGGGAAAAAAATATTTATTTTTTTAAAATTTTAATTTTAAATAAAAAATATTAAATTGTATCTTTCTCTCTCTTAAAATGACACAATTATATGTCATCTAAAAGGACAATTTGTTTTTCATATATATGTGTGTGCGTGCGCGTATGCATGTGCCTATATGTGTGTAGAGCATTATAAGTTTCTTTTAAAGTTATAACCGTCTAGATAAAACAAAAAATTATAGGACCCACTAATTAAAAAAGAGAGAGACGGGACAAATTTTTGCATCTGCAAGAGGGGATTAGTTTCTCTTGCAACTTATTCCCCATCTTATATAATAGAAAATAAAATTATCCTTTCGAAAGTTTGTTAATGTGTCATTTTCTTCTTCACTAGCCACTTTTTATTCACACTCGAAACCACTTTTAAATATTTCATCTTTTAGTAACTTTTCAAATTCGAATTTTAAAAAGGTGGAAAAATAGTTCAACATTCTTTCGTTGCAAATAGTATTAATATCACACTGCTTTCTGCATGGATAATAGTTAAGCCTATTAAAAATATTTATTATTATGTCTATTAGGCTTGATTATTACCTATTAGGATTAATTAATTTTGCTGCTGTAAAAAAACAAACCAAACATTATTTTGTTAGAAGCTTTAAAAAATAAATTTTGATACAAAAAAATGAGTTTAAAAAATGAAATTAATTTGTATATAAATAGGATATGTGTTGCTGCATATTTTTCTTTGATAATCAGCTTATGTGTACGCTTTTTGTTCTGTTTGTCTGTTTCTCTTCTTCATCTTCTCAAACTATTCTTTTGCATTATCTAATATCTCATTCGTTATGTACTCGAAATATGATTTTATAAAGGATATTAATCTTACCAAGAAGGAGTAGATGATAACGGTTAGGGTGATTAAGACTTGGAATGTTCATAATTTTCAGCGTAAAGATTTTGAAGACAATGTGGAGATGATTCTATTAGATGAACAGGTAATACTTTCCATTTTTTTAGTAGCTCTTTTGTGATATCATTTGGTTTTCATTAATATTCTAATGTATGTGTTTTGTAGGTGGAATGGTCTATGCTATTGTCAAAGGATCTTTACAGGTCTCGAAAAAAAAATCGTGAATGAGATAGATGTCTATTTTATAAAAAAAAATTGGGACAAATAGTGATAATTTCAGGCCAACTAGGCATGATTATCATATGTCTTTCAACTTGAGGACGAATGTTAAATCGACTATTGATGTTATTGAGAAAGAATCACCCGACTCTCCTTATTTAGTAGGTAATATATTTTGTCTCTAATATTAATCATATCTTTATTGTGTTGATAAGGTTATCATAAGTTCAATTTCTTTGTTCTATAGACGTCATCAGTTTATAGTCAAGAATAAGGGAAGTTCGTGAGTATATTGTCTCCCTAGGAAAACAAAAAAAGTTGTTAGAGCTTGACAACCTCGGGTATTTATATTATATCGATATAGAATAAAGACTGCTTATTTGTTAAATGTGGTTTTAATATATAAGATGATTTATTGCAACCACTGCGAAAATAAGGGTAACAAGCTTGAGCGCACTTTGTGGGAGCAATATGTAGATCAAGTGAAAACTTTCTTGGCAAATAATTAATCTCCTCAAAATGTGATAATAGTCGACTTGCAAGGATAAAGGGTTTCAACTGTATTTTTTCTGATAGTTGTTTCTCATTATATGCTTATGTCTTAGTATGTTTCATTTCTTGACTTTGTTATTCTCCGTTTGTTTCTTTGTATCTCCCTCTCTTATGTTTTCTTAATTGTATAGGTAAAATAAAAATAACAAATACAAAATATACGACGAGCATTCTTTTGGATTCCAATGTATAAGAGATTATAGACTTCAAAAAATGGTGTGGTATATGCTTTTGAACTCATCAGAATTAATATAGCATCACATTTATTTTAGTATATGCATTGATTGTATGCTATATAATTGCATTTTAGGCTTTTGTCTGATCAGATAGAAAGTAGTCTGAAGTTGACTCAGTTGTCCATCCAATTCTTATATTCTTTTGAAAATGATTTTCTGAAGGAGATAAAAAGGAAGTGTATCAATGATATTAAGAATTGCATGGAGGTACATTTTCACAACCAATGAATGCTTTCACTGAAATATATTGGATTGTGAATTTTGTGTCCTTATGTATTTATTATCCATATGTCAGGTTATAACATGAATTACTTTTGGAACCATAAAATCAATTGAAAGCAAATACAATTGATGGTATAAATCTTGTAAGAAATGTCCATATTCCGTTTGTTCTGATTTTGAAAAATGGTATTGTAAAAACTGCCAGAAACATTGGGTATCCAAAGTAAGATATTGTCCTCAAACTGTTTTGTTATCAAATTATTCCTTTGTGATGTGTAATTAAGACAATCGGTGTTAACGTGTGACAAATTTAGTGTTCAAGTCAGAGTTGTGGATAACACAGATTCTGCATCTTTCATTATGTTCGATAGAGACAGTGTTGTTTTGTTAGGAATGAGTGCTGTTAATTAGATTCATGGATGGTTTAAAACCTTTGATGTAAAATCCATGAATGGACTATATATATTTAAAGCTTAAGAATAACTTGAGTAATGTATGGATTATGTTTACCAAGTTTTTGGACAGTTGGAATTATGTCTTTGGTATGGAAAAATGCTAATTTGGTATTAAGAGAAAGCTTAATGGGAAAAACCAATAGGATTGAAATAACATGGAAAAATGTAGTTTTCCACTGGTGTAGCATGCTTAAGCATGCAAAACGGGTGCTTAAGCACGGATAGGTGTTGGTTACTAGTGGTGGGGGTTTAAGCGCACTAATGGGTGCTTAAGCACGCTCCTGCATTATAAACAGGGGTTGATCCTTGTCTTAGCATGCTTAAGCGTGCTCTTGCGCAAAAATATGACTGTTTTAGTGCGCTTAAGCGCCCGAATATAGATTGTACCTTTTTTGTAAAATTGGCATAACTTGAGCTCCAAAACTCTAAATTGAGTGATGCTTTAACCTATGTAAAGCTAGCTTCAAGATCTATAATCTAGGGGAGTTAAATACCATAAGAAAGAAGAAAGTAAAAAGTTATCCCAATTAATTTGTGAGTAGTCTATTGAGTAGTGTTTAGGAAAGGATTGCTTGATGCTCAAGTTATTAATGAATCAATGAGTTGAGAGTTCTCTCATAAATGAAATAAATGGAGCATGTTGCAATACATAAGGAAATGAAAAAGTTTATTCACGTTTTGTTATAAGACTAATTGTGAATCAATCAGTTTAGCTTCTGCGTATATTTAACTAAATTGTTCCTCTCTGTTGTTGATGGGAAAAGAGCAAAGCACACCAACAAGACTATAATAGGCTAGGGGTGGTGAACACTTACAAGGACTCTAACACTTATAAGGCGTTTGGTACGATTTTTTTTAGAATTTCCGGGAAACTAAGAATGGTAATCTAAGAAGACCATGTTTGGTAGAAGATTTTAGAAAACTTTCATGGAAAAATGATTTTCCCCAAGATTTCATTTGTGTGTATTCTCTAAACCAAAATACCACCGAAAAATACCATCCAGGTGATGGTATTTTTGGATTCCCATGGGCTAGAAAAATCACACAAATTTTTGTTGATAAAAATAGCCTCCCTTATGGCACCGTCTTTGTCCTTGATGGAGGCTGTTTCTGGTTGCCTTTGTTGTTAGGGAGGCTGAAATTAGCATACACCAATATCGTTGGCCATTGCCGTGCTCCATACACTAGTATAGCACCAATTTTTCATTCTCAAAATTTTTGATGTTTCACTTTGAATCGTCGTGCTCTATAAGATTGGTGCTCCATGCACCAATATCGCCTACCAAATTTTTCATTCTCGTCTTCTTCTTCATCTTCCACAAGTTGAGAAAGAGAGAGACAAATAGTTGAGAGTTGATAGAGAAGAAAAAAAGAGGCTAAATAAAAAAGAAGAAGCTTAAAGGTTAATTTTGTAAATTCGTTCCACAATCCTATAATATTTTAAAATCAACTAAACATATAATAGGAAAACTGACCCAATATTCACAGTAAAATTTTAGCTTATCAAACAACTTTTTGGTAACATTTTCGACAAATTCACTTTCCCACCATATTTTTGGAAATCGTAATTTTTGAATTAAAAAAATTTCTCCTCTACTAAGTACTCCCTTAAATTAATTTGTAAGTGAGGTGAAATTTGTATAAGAGGAATGTACTTATATAAGAACATAAACCGTGTCTCTGTATATATATCAACTATGTTAATCTAAAACATATAAGTCTTTATTTTAATAAAGGGATATTATATTATATTTACTTTTTTCATGTCTACTTTATCTATTTCATTTCAATATTATTAAATGATAATCTTAACCTATCTTTACTTTTTCTCTCTTATATTGAGATTCTAATATAATGGTATTAAAAATAAATAAGTAAAATAAGTATAAAAATAA